ATGTTGTTGGGATTTTGTTCGAGAATGCAAGAGTGTTTAGATCTATCGGTACGGCGATAGCGGAAAAGTGCCCCGGATCTTTAGCCTGAGATGCACTATGCATGACATCTGCCTTATGTTGCACGACATCAGCAGCCTCCCTTCTGAGTACACCCTCTTTGCGCCCATACCCCCGAAACTTGCCACAGGAGATCTCAGTTCCGATCTGGGACTCCAACCCCACTTTCCTAAAATCCTTCGCACACCCCTTTTCGCACTTCCGGTCCCCCATCCCCCTCCGCTCAGGAAGTCGCGCTGGGCGTGAGATTGGGCGTCACATTCCTCCTGTTCAACTTGTGCATCCTCTATCGTTGATGGCCGACCTCTATTGAAGGCCTCCAACAAAGAAGACGAGGGATCGACACCGACTACAGTCGACATCGACACCTCCAGATTCGGCAACGCGTCCTGTCAGCGTTCGTCCACACTGGATGCAATCACCATCACCCGAAAGACATGTGGCAACATACGCAGCTTTTCCTTGAAGTACTCCTCGGTCACCTCATCGCATGATCCTCCCACGCCCCCTACGTCCTCATTTTCATCCACCACCTCGATGCCGCTCATGGAAGAACATTGCAACCCATTGCGCAGCAAACCTGACCTACAGCCTCAGTGATGGCCACAATATCTAGGCCTTCAACCAAGACTTGATGAAGCGTCTTCCTCCTCCGCCCTCGGACCTGCGCTCTCATTCTGCCCAATGCCCTCTCCTGCTGACAACGAAAAAGCACGGCCATCACGGCCATTTTCTCGATCATCGTCTGCTTCGTACATCGGTCGTCGCTGCCGCCCTCCATCGGCACGTGTGTTGCAATGCTCATGTACCATGAAAATACAACAGCCTACGAACTTGCCACGAGCACGGTAACCTTAGCACAAAGTCACTGACGACATTCCCCGCTTGTGCTCGACTCCACACATACGCGCGGCGGCAGGAGGAGGCGATGGCGATGGCGATGGCGATGGACCTCCACGGAGCGCTCACAAATTCGTGATGGCGATGGCGATGGACCTCCACGGAGCGCTCACAAATTCGTGATGACTTACGACGACTGCACTGCGCTGCTGCAAGTGCCCGTTTCCACCGTCGCCAGTATGGACACCACCTGCCACGCGTCACTGTTGTGACGTCCAGCACCCAGTTCGAACTTTGTTTTCGAACAGGGAGGTCCGAGGTCCATTGCTTTTTAAGTCGTTTTTTTTCCCGTTGCCAGCGCCTTCCAAAATTTCCTGCCTTCGGCAGCTGGACCAGATCGTAGCAAGACGGACATCACCCACTGGACCAAGTCATTGCCCCCCCCCCGTCGGACTATAATATTATGAAAATGGCTACCGGGGCCAAAAGGAATCATCCTTGGGAGTTGGGAGACCACCCCGAGGATAGGTGGAACGATGCCGAGAATTTCCTTTCAAATCCCAAAGGAAAGTTCCGTCGGCCCCGAGGACGCCACAAGGAGTGTCTAAAGAGCCTCTCTGTCATCTCTGTCGATTTAGGAAGTGAACAACATGAGTTGTACTTTTAGATTTGTAAGGGTTCGGAATTTCTGCTTTTGTGACTTGTCTTTCTGGTTCCTTTTTCACAGGGGACGGGCTCCGTTTGCTGGATGCGGCTGGAGGCCTTGTGGACCGTGAATTTGAAACTTCTGCTCAATTGTATTTTGACTTGGGCACTGGACCCTCATAATAAAGGGAACATTTTTTCTCAAAAAAAAACAGATGATTCAAAGGATGTGAAATAGGAAAAAGGATGAAACATAAAAATAAAAAGTAAATAAATAAAAAGATGATCCAAAGGACGTGACGGTTCCTTGCACCATTGGGTGGTGGAGTCCCAGCTACCTTGAGGACACACTCACATCACCACTTTTTCCTACGTGCACCTGACGGGGATAACATCCTAGAACAAGTGAAGAAGTGCTAGAGTGAGCATGCGGTTACAGTTCGCTTTTGGCCGTTGGTCCTCTCTGATCAACTAACCGATGGGAAGAATAATCGTTGGTAGGTGGGATCTTACGCCTGAGGCCATGCCCCCCCAAGGCGGGGGGTTTAGGCTTGCTCTTGTTCTTTTTCCTTCTACTCCTAACGCTATGCAGGGGACCCTTGCAAGCATAGCGACCTCTCACTGTGAAGGGAATACTGCATTTTGCCCCTTGCCCTCGTGGTTTAGGGTGCAGGGTTGGGGCTGCCGGGAGGTGCAGGGGAGGGAGGGCGGGGGGTGGGGGGGAGCCGGCCGCTAACACAAAGACCAAGCCTTTTTGCCAGTAGCTGCACCTCCCTTTTCATCATCCCCCACCCCTATCGAGTAACAGAAGTGTCTAAGGCCAACATTCTCCCACACACCATGCACAACCCACTCACACTCACACTCATGGGGGAAAGTAAGTTCAAGTCCTAATCCATGTTGGTCATGGGTGAAAAGAACTGTCACCTACACGTGGAGTTTAAGCATGCGATAGAAACGTCCCGGCACTTCTTTCTAATCAGTGCGGATGTCATAACTACAGGGGTGGGCCATCACAAATAGATATCTTGAGTTAAAAAAACGGCAAAACGAAATTACAGGGTTTTTTTGGCAATATGAAACTCTGTTTTGTTGTGTGAAAAACAAAAAAAAAAAGAAAGGTTTTTCTGTGTTTTTTGCCATTTCAAACTCAGGGAGTGGCAAAATTCCGGGTACCTGTCTTTTCTACCCATTTCAAACTACAAATGTGATCTCTATTACATATTTCACAACTGGCTAAGTCCCATACTCAGGTGTTGAGACTAGGTATCGAGTACGCACCCGTTTCTGTCAAATGGTCTCAGACTGAGCATCTCACAGCCACACCAAACTGTGGCCACCCCGAAAATAATGAAGACTAAACCCTTGCTACTGTCTTCACCCGAATAGAACGCCCCGTCATTACTGCTGTATTTGGTGGAACTTTCAGTCCAGTTACGTCAATAATTACCGGGCGTTCTGTTCGTGACGTGGACATGAACGGAAGCGGGAGGAGCAAGAGGGAGCGCTTGCGCAGGAAGGCCATCGAACTGCAGAGCCTCATATAAGGGTCGATAGTTTCCCGGTCCGACCCAGATAGCGACTCGGATAGACACTAGAATCCTGGCAGCGATGAGAGCCTCATATCTATAATTAAAAAAAAAAAAAANAAAAAAAAAAAAAAGAATCCTGGCAGCGATGAGAGCCTCATACCAACGCATCCAAATACACCTTCACTCCCGCTTAATAAGCACCACATCTCCTTTTTCCTTCGACACCCAACCACTGTACACCGCCGACTCGTTGACAGTTGGTAGCACCTCAAATTGCCGAGAAAACATTCACAAGTGTAGCACGTACACAACAGCCCAATGAGGTGACACGGCGACTGGAAAGCAAGGATGGAATCCATCCTGCGAATTAGAAGACTTCAACAAAACAATAGCATCGAACGGATTGAAGAAAATAAAAAAAGCAACGGATGAAGACATGGAATAGCTCTTAACTCAGCGAACTTTCGGCCATTGCCGTGGCTGCTTCCTCAGGGGGTTGCCCGCCCCGCCTCTTCATCCCCTCACCTGCCTCCCCTGTTAAACGCTGACCGCTATCTGCTATGGGAAACGATTGCCAGCTACCACCCTATTCCACAAGCGCGCATTCCAACTGAATCCTGTCATCCGACCCTAACATCTCACGGGAGTCACGGCCACACAGTGGCCACGTTGAAAAACACTGGAAAAAAAGAGCAAACCCCTGCAATGGGACTCAACACGCGGGTTCGGATAGTTATCCCGTACCCACGTTTTTTTTTTTTTTTTTTTAAGGCCCTTATACAAGGCCACTATCCTGGTGGTGGTAAGAGAACCACCGGGATTGAGGCTTATCCTGGCGGGCCGCTCCGTCTATTGGTGGGGAGCTTCACCTGCTGGGAACCGGGGCCAGCGTCCCATGCCGTTTCTTCTCCGATTGACATGAGGACCAGAGAAAGCTTCGGTCGGCTTATCGTTTCCACGTGTAGTAATTAATCAGACTGCGAACAATTGGTGTCGACCAAAACAACAACCTACAGCAGCGCATTAAGAGAATTCTGGAAAAGAAGAGGAGGTTATTCGGCGATTTCCTGGAGTAGTCCCAGCTCCGCTTGTCATCCTGTGATTCCTGTCTATACCACCTTCCACGTACAAACCTGATCACAACTGCAGTAACTGCTAATCATAAACAAACACTTAAATATTAAATTAAGAAGTACTGTAATTATCGCCCTATCTACACTGACGGTCGCCCTAAATACAACCATAGCCGCCCGACGTTCTATGTGAGGGACGAGGGTAGTACCAACGAACACCTCGACTCCCAAGAAGAGCGAAGGGAGCTCGCACAGTCCACCAAGTGACAGTTCGTCTTCTTGGGAAAACAATCCAGAGCGCCGTTTCCCCGCGCCACAAAACTCCAGCCGGTCGATCTCCATTGCAGCTGCTGAATGCAGTTGTGACGGTGATTCCAGCACGTGATCTGTTGCGGGTTAATCTCCTCCCTCCTCCCGCTTCGGACATCCTTAATCGCCCGTAATTGCCGTCCGCATACGTCCGAGTATGTGAGTACGCTTCGAATCTCTTCGTCCTCGCGTCGCGCGCACAACTTTCTCCCCACGTAACCGAACTCGAAATGTGCTGCCGCAGCCTTTTTTTTTTTTTTTTTTTTTTTTTTTTTTTAAATGGACCATTTCTTGATTTATGCGTGTCATCCTTGCGCAGGGCCCATGCTAATCTTCAATTCTCTGTATCGTTCCAATTTTAACAGATGTCCCGAAGGACCTGCCGCTGCCTCAGAGTAGGCAGTGGCTGCCCTTCTCGAGCACCAACACTGCGCGCCGATTGTTACACGCTGCAGGCTTCCTCGTCTGAGCCGTCCGGGCAGTCGCGTTTGCCATCGCAACGGCGTCCGGTGACACACCACTTGCCGTAGCACTTGACTTGGCCTTCGGGGCATTTGTACCGCCTGCAGAACCCATGCCTCTCGTCGCTCCCATCAGCACAGTCCACCTTCTTGTCACAATAACGTCCATAGATATACTGGGTAATATTGCTTCGGCAAGTGATGCTCCCGACCGCAGCCAGCTGGTTCCGTGTTTGCTCGGAACTGCAAAACTCCGGCTTTTCGTCTTTGTCCCCATAGCAGTCCCCGGCTTTTCGTCTTTGTCCCCATAGCAGTCCCCGACACGGCCGTTGCACAGGCTAGTGGCGTACGTGCACCATAGCTGCTGCTGCAGCTGAGGAGCAGTCGTGCTGCTTGCGGCAGAAGGCCGGATCTTCATCCGACTTGTCCGGGCAGTCCTTCAGTCCATCGCAGAGAGATCTTTGGCTGATGCAAGTGACCCCGTCCTTGCATTTGACCTCCCCGTCAGAGCAGTTGTATGTGCGACAGAGGCTGGGGTCCTCGTCCGACCCGTCCCTGCACTGCTTCACACCGTCGCACAGCTTGAAAGAAGCGCACCCGCGCTGCTTTTCGTCCGTTCCCGCCGGACAGTCGTCCACTCCGTCGCACACCTGACTCCCCAGGATGCACATCCGGTTCCCCCCGCCCGCACACTTGACCCGATCGGACGGACAGTCCATGTTCTCGCAGAACTTCCCTTCGTCATCGCCGTCGGGACAATCCTTCGTACCGTCGCACACAAGCTGACGACTGATGCATCTGCCGCTCAAGCATTGAAACAAGTAGTAGTAACTAGAAGGGGAGCATCCGCGCCTCTTGCAGTAACGGTCGCTCTCGTCGCTTCCACCATAGCCAACGCAATTGACAACAACGTCGCACAGCTGACTCTCGGTTAAACACCCGCCCTTTCCGCCGGGACAACGTCGTCTTGGGCACGGCGGTCCACGGCTTCCAGCAGGCGGATACAGTGGCGTGTGCGGCACGTCCCTGTTGCAGTCGTACGAAGCGCAGAAGCGGGCGTCCTCATCTGATCCGTCCGTACAGTGTTTCGTACCGTCGCACAGGAAACCACTGTACGGATCCACGTAGTAACATTGTCGCGCCATTGACAGGCCACTCTTTGCTGTGACGTTCATGCACATCCTCCCACTCGGACACTTGTAGCGATGCACAGCAGTGCAGTCAAAGGCCTGCATCTATCTATACCCTCATCCGACCCGTCAGCGCACTCCTCCACGCCGTCGCATTCTTGCTCCGGCTTGATGCACTGCTTGATGCCGCTCATGCACCTCTTGAACCCGCGGAAGCAGTAAAACCTGTGCCGCCCATCCCTCACGCCATTCACCTTGTCCGGTAGCGATGACTTGGCTCCTGCAGGAAACTGGGCAAAGGTGCAGCTGTCCGCATCAAGAAAGAGGAGGAGGAGGATTGCCATGCCGAGCCATGACCGTGAGCTAAGAGCGATGTACTCTCTCTTCCTGCCCATCGGGGGAGAAGAGGAGGAGGAGGAGGAGGAGGAGGAGGATGAGGAGGAGCGCGTCATTGCTAGGGCAACAGCGCCTCTTCTGAGCCCTCGGTAGGAAACGAGGGAGCAGTAGATAGACGCAGTTACTATTCCACAGGAAGGAAGGAGAAGCGAGAACAACCGGCGATGGCAGCTATGGCGGGAACGAGGGCAGAATACAACGGCAGTGGCAATGGCAATTGCAGTGGCGGTGGAGGGAGGGAGGGAGGCAGGCTGTGAAATGAGGAGCATTGAGTGAGATTAAAGAATGGCGCGAAAGGGCATAAATAGCGGATGTCCGGGCGCCTAACAGGATTTAGCAGTCGCATGACAAGCCATTAGGCCTTTTTTTTTTTTTTTTTTTTTTTTTAAAGGGCGACGGCCTTGAGATATTATCATTGAGCTGACCGGCCCCAGGCAATTCATTAGTAGTTGGTTTTTACTCATCAAGTTCCATCATTAGGATTCGAATGCAGGTCTGTATTTCAACAGTTCATGGGTGTACCCACTGAGTTAGGCTCTTGGTTTTTTCGGCCAAAATTTCGAATGCGTCACAGCGGACTCGTGTCTTCTGGATTCGTGCCGATTTGTTTGATTTTTTTTTTTTTTTTTTTTTTTTTTTGGGGGTTGAACTATGCTTGGTATTAAAGGGACATTAACAGAGGCCACTTTGCTTGGCGGGGGGGGTGATGCAACTACCGGTAGGCCGCCAGCACGGCTTAGCGGGGCCAGGTCCCACTAGCAGCGTTGAGTTTCCTCAACGCCTGAATCTGGACGCGTTCGTGGCGATGTGCGGTTGAGAAAACTCAAACTCAACGCGATTTCTGCATTGATTTACACATACATCCAGATTCCGGCGTTGAGGAAACTCAACGCTGCTAGTGGGACCTGACCCCCGGTCAGATGGCGAGGCCCCCAATCTGATGCCCCACCACAGCGGATTTGTGTCCGGATTCGTGCATAATTTTTTTTTTTACATTCATTTATATTCCAAAGAACACATTTGTCTCGAGGCCGGGGACCTCACAATCCAACCCTCCAAAAAAAAAAAAAAAAAAAAAAAAAAAAAAATCAACCCGGAGTTATCCCGGCAGCATCAGCCGGTTTAGCTTCAATGTCTGTGAATAGGTACCACTCTCCTGCCTCTAACAGGAATCACTCTACTAAACACACAGGGTCTGTACGACCCTCCCGAGCCTCCCGCGGCTCACCTGCTACCTACAGCCTCTCTTGGTTCCCGGATTTTTCAGCGGGTAGACCTATCTCCCTCCTGCGGGAATTCCGAACCGAGAGGTCAGGTACGTCCTCCTCCCTAACCTATCCCCTAATACTATGTCTCCCTCTCCCATCCTGACCTCGCAATGATTCCAATACTAGATCCAAAACTAAGCCCAGAGATCCACTGAGCCAACAACGAGGGGGAAATTGCCAGTTTGCCTTCTACTGTGACTGCAGCTAGCTGGTTCCACCTTGCCCATGTGAACAGAAACCAGCTCCTCCCTGTCCGTCTGCTTCCCTGTTCTGCCTTTCTCACCCAGTCTGCCACAATCATTGTTCGGATAAGGTATTTCACTTTTGCCTTGATGCTTATGTCCGAACTCCATTCACCCCTGAATAGGATGTTGTTCCTATCTTCCCAGATAACCCACATAATGGCTGATCTGATAGCCTGGGCCACGTAACCCCACCCTTTCCTGCTGAAAAAAATAAATAAAGGAGGGAGTCTACCCGTGGTAACCCAGTCTTGATTCCATTGTAGATTTGACCCAATCCTGGGCCAGTGCAGGTCCCACCAGAGCCATATCCTTCTCGACACAGGAAAATCCCAAACCAGATGGACGAGTGTCTCTTCCTGTCTCTGGCCACACGGACCGCACGTTTCCCGGACCTCCATACCTTTGTTCGTCAGCCATTTTCCAGTGGGTATTGCTGAGTGAATGAGGAGCCAGAGTAGACTCCAGAGCTTTAGGCTTGGGAGGACTATCAACTGCAACCAGACCGCCTTCAGCTCGTGCCCTGAGGGTGGAACTGACAAATTCAATTCGCGTGCCGCTCCGTTTCGGATCTCTTGAATTCGCCTCGCGGACTGCAGGGTCCTTCCTATGCTGGTACCGTATTGTGCCAGACATTTGATCGCTCCCGATTGAAGCTGCCACATAGAACAGAATGGATAGAGTCTTAATTCTTGGACTGCTGCCCCTGCTTGGATTACTCTGAAGTTACTGCTTCTGCCCTACCCTGCAGACTTTGTGACCGGTAGGGGCATATCGGAAATTCTCCGAATGGCTATCCGGTAGGGGCGTGATGCAAATTTGATGTGGGTCCGGTAGGGGCACTACGAATTTCAAAACATATGAGGCCCAAACGACACCAGGGTTTTATGGAAAATTTGACTCCTGGTCAGAGGGGCGCCACAGGGTAACTTAAAGAAGTCTGCTGTCGGAGGGGGCCATGCAAATTAATGTAAAATACGGGGGGGGCAGACAAATTTTTCCAAAAAAAAAAGAAGAAAAAAAAAAAAAAACAGAAAAGAATAGGAAGCTGCGAGGAAGGTACAAGTGCATGGTTTTTTTTTTTCTTTCTCTCGTACAGGTGCACGTTGTACAGGTATGGGAGATACGTACAGGTGCACCCTGTACAGCGTATGTGGCTGAGTGGTACACAGTACTACACACGTGCAACAGCTCTTCGATCATCTGGTCATGAGCTGGACCCCTACTTCGTCGAGGCATCCAATAACGGTAGGGACTTCATCCCTTTTTCAAAACCCCAAAAAAAAAAAGTCACGTCAAAAGAAGCTGCCAGAAGGTACAAGTGTCAAGAGGAAGTTCCTCTGTTGGGGGGGGCATTTAGAGGTGCACGTTAACCCCCGCATGTATGGGTGGATGGTACACACGCAACTGTTTCTGTGAACAACGAACAAGGCATGAGCTCGACAGGGGCTCTCCCAGCCCTTTTAGGAAGCCAAAAAAAAAAAAAAAAAGCAAAAAAGGAAAGGTTGTCCAGTCAAGGATGTATATATGGGACGCTGGACCCCGTTTCCAGCAGGTAACGCTCCCCACCAATAGATGGAGCAGCCCACTAGGCAAAGCCTCAATCCAGGTGGTTCTCTTACCATCACTGGGATAGAGACCTGGCACAAGGGCCTTCCTTTGAAAGAAAAAAAAAAGATGTAGCTCAGTGGTTAGAGCACCTGTTGGAAATGCGCAGTGCGGAATGAGGTTGTGGGTTCAAAACTCAATCGCAGCCTAGCGCATGGACACCGGCAGGGCGTTAGAATGACGCACAGCTGGGCACACCCCCCCTTGGACTGACGCATGGTCAGTTAATACAGACAATGCCTGCGCACCACCCAAGGGTTGTCCATGGTGTTGTATGTCGGGCCTTGACACTGCGTGGGTTGCTTGTGGTTGTTGCTCGTGGTTGTTCTGTTGATCTCCCCAGTCTGGCATATCACACACGGGTTTGAGTCTGGCTTGGGACTTTGGGGGGGGTTCTTGTCCAGCTTGGCATGTCATCTCTTCAAAAGAACACATAGTTCCCTCAAGGGTTCTTGTCCAGCTTGGCCCGTCATCTCTTCAAAAGAACACATAGTTCCCTCTACATAGTACTGCACATATCTGGCCTGCAGGCACATACATCTCACTGTACAGTTACACACAGAGAACACATAGCCTTCAGGCAGACACAAAAAACAATACAGACACAAAAAAGCAAAAAAAATGGAGTTTCGATTTCGTTCAAAAAATAAAAAATGTCCGTTTTCACGAAATCGTAGTTACATGGCCCATACAAACATATATAGCCTCTGGGCACACACACATACACAACCACGATACCGGCCTGGGGGGGGCTATCACGGTCATGCATGGCTCAGCTTTAGGGTAGGGTATGGACATAAGTCGCTCCCGCTAGTCTGAGTTCCACCTAGCCTTAAGTAAGTTAGGGGGTCTATCACGGTCTACTCACGCATGGCTTAGCTCTAGGGTAGGGTACGGATATAAGTCTCTCCGGCTAGTCTGAGTTCCGCTGAGCCTTGGGTAAGTTAGGGAAAGGACTGTAGGATGCGTCCGTGGGCGCTGGCTTGCCTTGCTTAGCCAATCCTGCTGGTTAGACTCTCTGAATTGGGCTTGTAGAAGATTGCACGAGCCTGGCATCCGAAGTTCCCGTACGGCAAGGTTGCAAGGTTTGTTTGCTTCCATTTGTCCGCTTCCGCTTCCACTAGGGCTGGGGCGCTGGCCCAGCCTTGGTGCTTGTCACTGCTCTCTGGTCCAAGTTCCCCTCTATACTGGTAGGGGGAAGGTCCTAAGTGCTGGTCACACTGAGGTAGGATAGTAGGGACAGGGGATGCGCTGGGAGTATGAACGTGAGGATGGGTAGGGTAGGTGGCCTATCCTGTCAGGACAACCACTGGCTGCCTCTACCAGAAATCACAACGTGTCAGGTCCTTGGCCTCTACAACACCCGGGACTTTTATAGAAAGAAAGAAAGGGAAAAAAAAACAAAAACAAAAAAAAAGGAGAAAAAGGAGACAACTGAAATCCTACGTGAAAGTCAGATACAAAAGGGGAAGGCAGATGGGGAAGCATTCAAACATAGCAGTCCTGTCCCCTTTCGACTTTGCCTGTATCATTTTTCCGTCTCACTCCTCTTAACCTTCCTCTCTCCCTTGTCCGCTCCTCTTCATCATTGACTGTA